TAGAACAGAAGAATAGACAGTGCTGGTGCTCAGACAAATCTCCCTAGTCATTTCAGGGAGGAAGGAAAGAAAGGCACTGGAGAGTGATTTACTACAAGTGACTCATCAATTCACCAACTGCAGCTGAAAACACTGGGCCAGACCAGTTAAGATAAGAACACAGCTGAGGTCTGATACTGAGTGAAATGAATGCTATGGGTGGGGTTGGGAGCAGAAGAATTTTCTCTATTTGGGATGCTGATAGACATGGAAGCAGAATGGTCCCTTGCCAACACTGTTCATGAATCAAAATGATTTCAGAATATTGGTTCAGGCCCCACAACTTAACTCTTCCTCAGGTATATGAATTTTTCCAACATTCTGTGATGATGCAGCTTCCCAAAACATAGAATAGAAGAAATGGGCCAAAAGCATAAAATCTGCATCACCAGAAAGTTAAACATTAAGTTTATGAAAGAAGTTACCTACAGAAGGCAGCATATATGCCAAAAAAGAGATTCTTAGAAGATGTTTGATGGCTACAACTGATTAAACTACTAGACCAGTAAACACTAGCCTCTCACGCAGACCTTGATTTCATTCCACCATTCTGTGCAACGGACTGAATGGGAAAAACAAAGTTAAGAAGTTAATTCTTTATCATTTGAAAATTTTACCTATTTGTTGGTGGGGGAGGGATAGACCAACTACTCCTTTATTCTCCAACGGGAAAGACATTCCAGCATTTAAGAGGCACATAACATCTAAACCAGTAACCCATTTACAGAGGAAATGTGGGTTTAAAAAAAATCATAGACTTCAAATTTTGGCTCCCAAAATGTTATAAACAGTGAAAGGAATAAAAATTAAATTATTACAGAAAAAAAACCTTCTGAAGCTTTGTTTATGAAAAATAAAAATGAAACTCTTTATTAGGTCTGAACATCTTATGAAGGCCACATTTTTAGCCTTGGGCATTAATTACAGTTGCGCCACTGATGGGGTCCAGAGGAAGCCGATTCAGTCCGCTCCATCCTGAGGGACAGAGAGCATCCTCCAGTTCACAGGATAATTAATGATCTCCATTTTATTGTCCAACAGAGTAAACAGTGAACTGAAACCTTGTGCTTCATTAAATAAGCTGGTCAGGCCTGAAATGTGGGTCTGTTTCTTCACTCACCATGTAAAAAGTATTATCCACTCTGAGAAATGCCTCTCTCGTAGTCTTCCAAAGGTCAGAGCTTCAAGATGAGCTTAGCGTTCATCGAACCTGAGTTTTAGCACTCAGAAAACTTCCAGCAATTATTTTGATCCTCTTCCAGCACTTCCATTTTTTTAGGAGAGAGATTAGAGGTTAGTTCCTTCTCATTCCCCGTGATTATTGTGGTTTCTGTAGAATTTCAAGAACCTATGATGTACTTAGCAAGACTTCTTGGCATGGAGCTGTGTTAGCTGCCACAATCTATTCATCACTGTCAATATAAAGAATAGCAACAACCGCCACTCTTATCGGGGAGGTCATTGGTGTGAAGTGCTCAGCCTCTGGTGCGGAGGAGCTGTCCTGAGAAGGCCTAAGAACACCAGTGGACTCAGCCTCAGAGACCCACTTGTATTCTGATGTTCTATTATTAATTCACTATGCTTCTGAAACAGAGTACAGCAAAGGGGGTGGCTTAAACAGCAAATATTTACTAACTTACAGTTCTGGGAGCTATAAACCCAAGATCAAGGTGAAAGCAAATTGGCTCCTTCCGAGAGCTATGAGGGAAGGCCCCATTCCAGGTCTCTCTCTTGGGCTTGTAGATGGCCAACTTCTCCCTGTGCACCTTCACAGCATCTCCCCCCGCATGTGTGCCTTTCTCATCATGTTCCTTCTAGAAGAAGCCCTTTCATGTTGGATTCAGATGCCCACTCTACTCCAATATGACCTCATCTCAATTTAATATCCTCAAGGCCCCCATTTCCGAGCAGGATCATTCTGAAGTACTGGGTGCTGGGACTTTAACATATGCTTAGAGGGGAGGCACAATTCAGCCTACTACCTCATCTATGGGATAACACTTGTGCCAGAAAGTGGCCTTTACTTTTTCAAGCTATTATTTGGAGCAAGCACTTCACATTCACCCCCTTATTTAATGATTATTTCTCTCTGTCCTGTAGGGTTGTCATAACAAAAAGCCATATCCGGGTGACTGAAACAATGAAAGCTTATTCCCTCGCAATTCTAGAGGCTAGGACGTCCAAGATCAAGGTCCAGCATGTTTGGTTTCTCATGAGGACTCTCTTCCAGGCTTATAGGCAACCACCATTTCTGTGTGCACACTCAGATGAGTTCCTTGGGTGGAGAGGAGAGAATTCTGGTGATGCTTTCTACTTGTAAGAGTGCTAGCCCCATCCATATTAGGGTCCCACCTTATGACCTCATTTAACCTTTATCACAGAGTCTCTTCATACAGGCTCAATCTCCAACTACAGCCACTGGAAGGGTTTAGGCTTCAACACATGACTCTTAAGAGGACATAACTTGGGGCCAGCACTGTGGGGTAGTGGGTTAAGCTACTGCATGCAACACTGACATACCTATTTGAGTCCCAGCTGCTGCACTTCTGATCCAGCTCCCTGCTAATGCACCTGGGAAAGCAGCAGAGATGGCTCAAGTTCTTAGGCCCCTGCACCCACGTGGGAGTCGAAGCTCCTGATTCCTGGCTTCAGCCCAGCCCAGCCCTGACCATTATGGCCATTTGAGGAATGGATCTTTCTTTCTTTCTCTCTCTCTCTCTCTCTCTCTTTCTTTCTTCTCTCTCTCTCTCTGCCTTTCAAATAAATACTTTTAAAAAATAGAGAAATTAATTGTATGAAAGGATGTAAGTCAGTCCATAGCAACCCCTAAGGAAGACATTTTTATCCTCATTTCACATATGAGGAAACTAAAACATAGAAAGGTTTACTCGCAGGTTCGCAGCTTGAACTAAGGTCAAACACTCATTTCTGTCCATTCTGCTGGGTGTCCCGAAGTAGGATCTACAGCAGGTAGATTTGCACATGACCTGGAATTCCTCCCTTCACTGGAACAAGGAACGGTTGAATCATATAAATCCTGCTTCTACCACACTGAGTTATTCAAAGTTGTCATTTGGGGGTAGAAGATCAAACATGGGCAATTTCATCTTGTTCAGCCCATAATGAGAAAAGAGAAATATGAAGGTACTTCAAAAAGTTTATAAAAATGGGATTAAAATTAGGTGTTTACGGAAATGTCTGGAAGGTTTCTGTAACCAGTGGAGGCGAATGGCCCACCTGGGTATGGGTCATGCTTCCTTGCCATAGGCCGACTGCTCACTACACTGCTCTTCCCCAATTCCTAAATGTCTTGTGGATGTGGCAACCAGGGAGCCTGGACTATGGAGCCAGACCATGGGGGTCACAGCTGGGTTTAGATTTCCGCTTGACTACTTACTGCGACTTAAAGTATTTAATTAACCTCTCTTTGCCTCAGTTTCCTTATCTGCAAATACAGATAACAACATTCCTCCCTCATATGATGGCAATAAGAACACAAAGAACCAACAAGGGTAAAGAGCCTCAGGATATGGTCTGGCACAAAGTGAATACTTTGTCAACATTATCTGTTATCATCATGGTCATTCTTTTTTGAATGACTTGGAAGAGGAAAAAATATAACCTTCAGAAAAAAAAGTTGAGGGGAGAGGATGGTTAATAGGTACAGGGTGCAGTTGGATAGCAGTAATAACTTCTAATGTTCTACAGCACAGTAATGTAACTCTGGTTGACAACAATTAATTGAATATTCAAAATAGCTAGTAAGAGGACTCTGAATGTACCTAACACAAAAAAATGATAAATATCTTAAGTGATAGTTACCACAATTACCCTAATCTGAAGATTACATGTTACATGTGTGTACCGAAATGTCACACTGTACCCCATAAAAATGTACAACTACAGCTAAAATTTAAAATGTACTGGAAAAGTTTTAAATGCACCCAATCAACCTCTTGAACCAAACTGGGCCACCTTAAGTTAGGAAGCACGTGCTTTCCAGCTCTGGTATGCACTCACGGGCTCCAGAGGCAAATTTTCATACTTCGGTTTCATACAAATTATTCTAGAAGGTCTTGGGCCTTGGGATGGAAAGTCCAGGTACGGGACACCACACAGGACTCCAGCAGGGGCCTGTGTGAACAACCACACGAGTCACGGGATGATGAGGTAGGTCTACTCCGCACACGCCCGGCCCCCTCCCCCTTCTTGCGGAGTTTACTGAACCGAGGCTTGCAGTATAAACTCGCCTGGCTCTGCATCTGTTCGTTCATCCCCACTCAGTGTATCAAGTGGCCTGCTTGCTCCAGGAGGAAGACCCACTTTGGGTAGAGTGGGAGGGTAGAGACGGGTGACGAAATCAAAAATTAAAAGCCACAGGTCTCTGTGGTCCAAGCATGTGTCCTTCGGCGAGGCCAAACTTAAAGAAGCTCCAAGCCCCGGACCCTAGCCTCTCCAAGTAGAAACGCGGGAAATGGGCAAGGTACCAATAGTTCAAACCCCAGTCATAAATTCCAAAGCCAAGGCCGACTCGGGGAGGGTGAAGCGCCAGGGGGGGTCGTCGGTCAGGGGCAGGGGAGCAACGGACACCCGCTGGCTTCCCCGGGCTCCCCCTTCGTTCTCTGCCAGGGCCGCGAACCCGACGGAGCCCCCTGCCTCCCGGGGCGTGCAGCAGCGACTCCTCAGCCCCACCCCCGGCCGGCGGGAGCCGGGGCGCCGTCGGGGCCGTCATTTGAATGCGTTTCCTTTTCGCTGAGCACAAAGGCTGGAGCCGGGCCCTGCGGCGCGGGGCAGGAAAGTACAGCGCGCGGGGCAGGAGAAAACGCGCGCGCCCCGCAGCACCCGCGAGAAAGGGAAAGGGGGGAAAACACCAGTCGGCCCGGCGCTGGGCTTTTTTTTTTTTTTTTTTTTTTTTGACTTTTCCTTTAAAAAGAAAAAAAAAAAAGTTTTTCGAGCCGTAGGTTCCAAGAACAGGCAGGAGGGGGGCGAAGCGGGGGGTTTTACAGAAAAGGCGCCTGGTCGGTTATGACTCACAAGTGGGTTATAAAAGGGTCGCACGTTCGCAGGCGCGGGCTTCCTGTGCGCGGCCGAGCCCGGGGCGCAGCGCCACCGGCCCCCGCGGGCGGGGACCAGACCGCGCCGCGCCGAGCCCCCACGGAGGCCGCGCGGGACAGGACGGAGACCGCGCCCGGGCCGCCAGGTACGCCGGCTTTGCCGTGGCCTCCCGGCCGCCGCTGCGCTAACGTGGCAGGGACGCCGCGGGCAAGGGCAAGGGCGGGGCGCAGCGCACGTGGCCGCGGGGCGCCGTCCGGCTGGGCCCGCGGCGGGCTGAGGTCAGCCTCCCCCAGGCCCGGAGGTTGGCCTGGTTGGGTTCCTGGAGGGAGAGGCGACGGGGTGGAAGGGTGTTGAAAACCTCCGAGTGGAGCGTCTTGGCTAAGTTTCCTTGGACGGGGGTGGGGGAGGTACCTGTGGTCCGGCTTAGCTCGGGCTAGACCGGAGAGGGCGCGTGCCGAACGGGAGTGCGGGGTGGAGTGGATCGAAAGAGACTGTCCTGGAAGCAGGTGTCGTTCCTGATGACTTTCAGAAGTAACTGGGTAATAATACAATATACGTCCGGGGTTAAAAGTTACAGTCCTCCTATTTTAGACGCCAACATCTTCATTAACTAGAAGACGCAGTAGACGTTCCGTGGGCTTTTGCGTTCCGTGTTCCCACTGCGCCAGGGTGCGCTTGTTGCCGAGCCTGTTGGTGGTCTTGATTCCCACCAAACCCTTGTGGGTGTCGGTCGCTTCTTATAGCTCTCGGGGGGTGGATTTTTTAAAACGTCTGAAGCAGACATATTGGGGTTTGTATGAATAAAATTTAACCTTGACGGACAGAAATGAGAATCTGAGCTATGTTAAAAATCAGAGAAATTTGAGCTCAGAGAGGTGAGGTTTCTTCTGCGACCTCACACAGCAGATCCAAGACTTTGTGTGATTTGAGGGTGCCAGCGGTATCTACTGATGCTCTTAATTTAATTGATATTTTGTCCCAATAGGTTAGGTGAAGTTGGCATGTAGATATTTCAGAGCCAAAGTGACTACTTATTCTCTCCGTCCTGTTGAAGAAGTGCCTTTTATTAATTATTTATTCCAATTATTTATTCCTTTGAAAGAGAGCTAGAAAGAGGGAGCTCCCAGTAGCCAGTTCACTCCCCAAATGCCCATAACATTGAGGACTTGGTCAGGGCCAGAACTGGAGCCGGGAGGAGGAGGAGCCAGGAATCTGAACCCAGATGCTTAGATTTGGCAACCAGGCATCTTAACCGCGAGGCTAAAAGGTCATTTGTATAAGACTAACATCATCCATGATCTAATTGAACCTAGAGCAGCCAAACTTTTAAAAAATCATAGCACTTATCTCTCAAAAATGCATGTAAAGTAGTTAATTGCTTATCTGTGTGAACAGTAATAGAAGATATAAGGTTTTCAAAGTAATTTCCTGCCTGTCATAAAATTTGATAGTGACAACGATAGGAAATCGACAGGGTAGACAGGACTGGCCCCTTTTTGCCCATGAGGACTTGTGTCTCAGAAAATTTGAGCTGTCTCCCCCCAGCAAGGTCACTTGTCCCTAGTGTAGAGCCTGCTGTTGGTTACAGGTGGCAGCTGGGGGGTGCAGGGAGAGGTTGGTCCGGGAGCCTTTGACTCTTAGTTTGTTCTCAGTTGGGCGATACCTTGCTGCCTCTCTGAACACAGGACCAAAGTGTGTTTAGTAATTACTTTGGCTGCACAAACTGCTCCTTCATAGGCTGTACTAAGTGAGTCCCCTCACACAGTGGGTCTGCTCACCCTGGCCACAGGACCCGGCTTTGTGACCACACACATTTAAGAAAGAGAAACAATAGCCCTGAGGGAAGCCTGCAGCCACTTCAGAAGGAGCAGTGGTGTGTGCACAAAGGACTGCTGGCTTTAACCTGGTCATGGGTAGGAAGTGTAACTTGCTGATCTCCACCATCCCTAAGTGCTGTGTTCTCTTTCTGGAAGGGCCACCATCACATTCTGCTGTGCCAGGCATGGTGCCAGAGGCTGGAGAGACAGAGGTGAGCGGGACAGACATAGCAGGACCCCCATGGACCTAAAGAGTGCAAGGAAAAGCCAACAGGACTTGCAGTGCAATTTGATATGGCTTTGCAATTGCGGTGACATAAATACAAGGCTTGGGTGCTTCAAAAAGTTCATTGAAAAAATGGAATTAAAAGATATGTTTATATTGGTGCAAAAAAGTATTAAATCCATGCATAGTTTTGTTTTTATAGTATTCCTTTTTCATGGCCTTTTTGAAGATCCTTTGGACTTGAAATCTTTAGAATGTGGTAAGGATTTTGCCTTTTTTTTTTTTTACTTTGCATGTGCAAACAGAATTTATAACCTTCCCCTTTCTTCATCTCTCATCAAATTCATCTTCTGAGAATCAAAAATCCACCCAGAAAAGTCCTAGGTTTTAACCTCTGAAAAGTTTTCTCATCAGCTATTTTATGTCATAACCAAGACCCACCAATTTAAGTAGGGTTGTTGTTTTCGTTTTTAGAGTAATAGTTCTTAAATCCTTTTCTTCTTACTGCCTTGAGATTCTAATGAAAGATACACATTCTTCCTGCAGAAATTTAAAACTGCAAAGTGTCCATCCTGGTACACATTTGTGTTTGATCTCAACCTGGTGGGGGGGGAGGGCTGCCTTGGATCTCAGCCTGTTTCATAATCCCTATTGTAGACCTCGATACCAAATAGCTGTAACAGAGGGAAATGTACAGAGACTGTAGCTTCTTCACCTGCACTGAACATCTCTGTCCTTAGCTGACTGGGGTCTGTCTGTTTTTGTGGGTCCTTCGCTCTTGGTTAGCTGAAGCTGCTGATTTCCCTTGCTTTCTTGTTCTGATGTTCGCCTCCAGCCCACCGTGCAGGAGTGCCAGCCGGAGCGCCATGGCCCATTTCCAGCCCCGACTCTGTGCACATTCCCATCCTTCCTTTTTCTCATCGCTAACATGGGTGGCTGGGACTGAAGCATTTCTCAGATCCCTTAAACAGATGAAATTCTGCAGTTCTAGTATGAACACCAGCTCACTTTCACATAGCTCTTGAGACACAGCTGGACTTAGTGGATTCATGTCCAAAGAAAGGCAGGAAATATACCACCAGAGTGTGTTTTTGTCTTTCACTGATCTTGCTGCATTCAAAACTGTCACACCTTTCCTGAAATAGAGTGAAAACTTGTGAAACACTTTTTAAGGAAAAATATTAGAATTGCAAAGGCTTCTTTTGTATTCCACCTATTCATTGACTCCAACTTTCTCATAGATGTATAAATTCTCTTTATCTCAGATTCTTAAAGAGAAGTTCTTTTCATTTGATCCACTGCTGTGTCGTTCTCACGTGCCATTAAAGAATTAAGCTGTGCCCATCAATCGGTGATTTTGCTTTTGCAACATCCAGAGCCTGGAGCAGAAGTACATTATCCTCAAAGGGCACATGCTATGTCTAAGTAGTTCCATAGCCTCACTCTTAACTCCAGGGCTCTTAGCAATGTAGAAAAACACTGAATTCCTAAGTAACACCCTTACAATGACTCACTCACCAGCAAGTGAACTTAATATCAATCTACTTTCTATAATTTAACATGTAATGTGAATATCTTTGCATTTTTATTTTTTTAATTTATTTTTATTTTATGTGAAAGGCAGAGAGACTCAGGTAAGAGATCTCCCATGCACTGGTTCACCTCCCCAAGTGCCTGCAACAGACAGAGCTGGGCCAGGCTAGAGCCCAGAGCCCAGAACTCAATCTGGGTCTCGCATGTGGCTGGCAGGGGCTGTCTCTGAGGGTGCACATTAAGAGGAAGCTGGAATTGGCAGTGGATCTGGGACATGTACCCAGGCACTTTCATATGGGTTACAGGCATGCCAAGCAGCAACATAAGCCCAGTGCCAAATGCCTGCCTCTTTCTGTGCTAATTCTCATAGACAAAAACCACAGGTAGGTAGACAAGATTAGGGACTGACAGAAGGACAAGTTACTGAAGAATATCAAACAGTTGATTTAATGAAATTCTGAAGCAGATGTTTGGATAAGGTGAATTGTGAGTTTTTCCATTTCTCTATAGATGAAAGTATTCTATAAAATATAGAGGTTCTGACTGTTTTAATGAAATGCTGTAGTCCGTTAGATGTCCATCCATTGTCAGGCGAGCTAGCCTAGTGGTTGGGAGCGTGAGTACTGGTGCCAGATTATCCCAGTGTATATTCCAGCAGTACCTTTGGACAAGTTGCTTCTTGTGCCTTAGTGCACCCATGTATAAAGGAGGAGAGTGCTAGTTCTCATTCCTGAGGTGGTGATGGGAATTAGCATGTCAGTATACGTCAAGCAGTCAGAGAGTCATGTCTGGCACAGTGGAGTCCTGCCTAAGAGATCACTGTTACTTTGAGTAAATGGATGATCTTGTCAATTTCAAGAAATTTCAGTTTGGAAAGGGAGATGCAACATGTGTATGTACAAAGTGGTCTCTCAAAGTTCTTGACAAGGTAGAAACTTATTTCGTTGTAAACAGTTTTTAAGTTTCAGAATGAATATTACGTATTTTCTTATTTATTTGAGAGGCAGAGTGAGAAAGATACAGAGAGAGAGTGTTCCCATCCATTGAATCACTCCCCAGTGCCCAGGTGTATGCCAGGAGCCAGGAACTGAATCCAGGTCTTCAGGGACCCATCACTGGTGCCTCCCAAGGTTCACATTAGCAGAAAGCTAGAATCAGGCACTGGAGCTGATGACTGAACCCAGGCATTTTGATGTAGGATGTACGCATCCTAACCAGTATCTTGATAGCTAAATCAAATGCCCACCCATGGAATGCATTTTTTTCATCCTAATCAAAAGAAAAACTAATAAAACACTTGAGAAAATTATTTCCAAAGAATCATTCTGATGTGACCTTTTAGCAGTGACTTTGTGAGTTGGAGATTAGAACAAACCGAAGAAATTTAGCTTGTACTTGCTTTTAGATAACTTCTAATTTATGCAATGATCTGATTAGACATTTAGTGGTAAGTCTATCTGGATTTTGTACTTTTAAAATGGCAAGTGTCACATGTGCTAGATGTGTGGGCACTGACACGGCACACAGTAAGCGCTCATGACTAATGTGTGAGCAGTGTGGCCAACATCC